GGGAAAGGGAGAATAGGGGAGAGGTAGTAAGGAAGGAAGAGTGATGATAATTCGGAAGGATGGCTTTCTCCCATCTCTGTTCAGGCAGGTTCCATCTACATTATAGCCCCTATCTAATAACTAATATTATGTATGGCTGGCTTGTCTTGTGGTCACCCTCAGAGAAATACAGTGTGGAAAATGAAGTGCTCTGGACCCCTTGTTTAAAAAAAAGCTTAGACTATGACCTAGAAATTAAAGCTAGATGTGCACCATGCCATTCAGTATGTACTTTTTAACAGCAATTTCTTTTTTTTTTTTTTTTTTTTTTTTTTACAGTGGCCCTAATCCTCTTATCTGCTTCTCTGATCATCTCATCCACCTCTTCGTCCGTTAACTTCTCTCCCAGGTTCGTCATGACGTGACGGAGCTCTGCAGCGCTGATGTAGCCATTTCCGTCCTGGAAACATGCAGCATGGGATCAAATGTGTCAAACACATACAATATCCCACAGGCTGACGACTGGCTGGGGAAAAAATTCCCAAGAGATCGATTAATGAGCAAACATGGAAGCAGGTGTTAACTGAACAGGAAGGTGGAAACTGACGTCTTTTTTTCCGTCAGGTTAAACTTAATTTTGGACTAGACTGGCCTGGTAAGGATGAAGTTTATTTAAAGTTTCATCTTAAATTTTACCAGATGATAACTATAGCTGTAAGCAAGTCTTCTTGGGCTCTGCAGAAAAGTAACGATAAATGTAAATCCAAAAACCTGGCCTGCCAAGCATAGAAACAATTCTGTAGTTTCCTCATTATGCTCTTAAAACTTTATTTACCTTGTCAAATACCCGGAAAGCCTCACGGATCTCCTCCTCACTGTCTGTGTCCTTCATTTTTCTGGCCATCATGGTCAGAAACTCTGGGAAGTCAATGGTTCCATTACCTGGGATGGGTGATCAATGAGGTATATTTAATCAGCAAAAACTGCAATTGCTTAAAAGCAAAGTTAGATAGGTAGAGATCAAATGAACCAGTATTTAGCTGATGAAAAGCTATTTAGCTCGTCTTTTTTCCCCTGAGTATGACAGTGGGGTTGACACTATTGTTTGGGCCATAACTTTTCTCCAGAAATGTTCCTGGCAGCAACTGTGCAACTTGAGACATGACTAATTTCAGAGATGGTAGCAGCCCTTAAATCTTTTTTAGTACACACCTTCCTGCCATAAACACAGCTACTGCAACCTGAAAGGAGGAGGGATATGTTAAATGTGTGTGTCTGCGTGTGTCCCTTTCCTACTCAGGGAAGCCCTGGGAGGACGTTGCGTACGTTACACACAGTGCAGCAGGATTATCAGGGGGGCATAATGTAGACATACAGTAAACTGTGTAGCTTGGCCTTCAAAGAGCCAGGACAAATCAAAGGCTCATCTATGTAGGAATCAGCAATGGTGTTTCTGGTGGTGAATGCACTGTATGCGTGCAGTTGTATCAGTTTGTGTCAAGGTCAGGGATGCAGAGGGTAAAGTACCCAGAAGGATTAGCCCTGGGGTGGGACAGATGGGGCTGGGGACTGTACACAAATTAAGCAATGATAGAACATGCCTCAGAGAGCAAAATGGAGAAGTAATATTAGAATGGATGTGTGTGTTTGGAATGAAAGGGGCTGCAGTAATGTGATGGGGTAGATGTGATCTCAGGGCCCGGGGTAATAATCTAAGATTATCCAACACACAGAGATGGCCAGCAACACTGAGGGAATACATGCTACCACTGGGGGGCTAACAGGAAGGTTGGGCAGTGTCCCAGTCTTGGAGAGGAGCAGGACTGCAACTGGAAAAACCATCATTTGAGGGGTACAAAGATTAGAGAAGCAGGGCAGACATCTTTTGATATCTGCTCAACTGCACCTCAGTCTAGCTGCAATGGTGGAGGAAGGAGGGATGGAAGCAAGCAAGGAGGAATGAAGATACAGAGGAAGGCAGGTGGGAAGACA